AACCTTGATAGATGATCATGGATAGGAGGAATCGCCCCATGAATGGTCAATTCTCTACCCAGATGATTTTTGGTTCATACATGGTACAACAATGTACGGCCCGCGCAATTCAGGTATGATGCCTCCATTTCTTTTGTGTGCGGGGCGGTGCGAAGGTGCGTATACTTTTTGTTGGTAGAATCATGTACAGCTACAATCGATTCAACTAATCGGTACTTGTATGATTTGGTCCTCAGCATCTCATATCATTGTCGGTTTCAGCTATAAAACTATAGCTAGAGTCTTCCTTTTGACTACGCAGCATGCATACTCAGTCCATCTCGGCACTGTCTTGCATGAATAGCAAGCAATAGCAACAGGTACGGGTCAGACCCCAGTCCATGGGCTAATGCCAATTTGTTTCCTTACACTTCTCGTTGTTGCAGCTTGATTTTCATGATGAGCTCAGGCGGGAGTAGCTGCAGCTGTGGAAGCGTGTCGTTGCCCTCAAGCCGCCTGCAAAAAGGAGTGCTTCCAAAGATCGAAATGCCGGGTTCAACCCTAAAAGAAAGTCATGTGGGTATGGATTAAGATCTATTCCCCCCAAAACTGCTGGAAGTTATGCACTTTTCAGCATGGCAACCATTCTGAAGTACAGAGCGACGCGATTTTGACACATTTCGATCAGAAGTAGTAAATGGTTGCGAACCTGGTGATCATAAGTTCCCAAAATCAGTCATTCATCCCATGTCTTAACTAACTGTGCCCATATACTTCTGTATATGGAATAAATGTACTATGCCATGTATATGCCACCAAAATAGCCCAAAGTTAAGCTAATTTGAATATAAACCAAACATGAACCCTAGGATAGCTACTCAAATGGTTCAGAACCCACTATGAAGTCTTCCTGAGGCGAGCTTACTTTTCTTCCAGAGCTATCCACAGGCAAAGTCACTATGTTTAATAAAAAATGTTGCCAGACTTAGCTCTTTGTAAATACAATATGTATGTATATATATATATAAGTGGAATATATATATATATGTTACATGTAATTTTATTATTGTTATATCGTATCATATCATATTTTATTATGGGATATGCTATGTTCATTATTATTTCATATAATGAATAGTCCCCGAAACCACTGGGATGCATTGGGATATACAGCAGTTGCTAACGTTGCTAACGACCCATGGCACGTGTCCGCGGTCTACACCGGAGACACTGCGCAGGCGAAGGAACTCGCCATGCCAGGTGCGGCTCGCCACGGCTTGGAACGCCTTAATCGCGCTTGGAAACGTTTGAAATGAGGAGATTTCATGCGCGTTACCCTCTGGCAAACTAAAACAGCTGTGGAAAATCACTTGTTTTTTTACTCAACTATAATTGGCCATTTTCAATAGCTACATTAAATTACCAGGGGGTATATGACCATTTGGGACTCTTGTTAGATTAAACATGGGGAATACCATGAAATATCCAATAAATCTCAATAGGGAAGGTTTAGAAGTTGATTTACTTCAGCCGTGAGGTGTAAAGAAAGAGGACATAATAACTTCTTAATAGCCATATAATGGAAGACAGCGGGATATATATATATATATATATAGCCAACAATATGAAACTCTTTTGTCTGTCCTGAAAGTGGGGTGGCCACTTTACCTCCACTTTTTTCAATCTTAATCGGGAAAATGAGGATTGACCAGCGGATGGAATGAGGCTTCGTCATAATTGCAGACAAACACATCTGCTTCTCACAAGAACATGCGCTGATTGGGTCACTAGGAAAACATGGTATTGCAAGAAATGGGTTTATTTTTCCAGGATTAAAATGGATTTAAAGCTGGAATAGCCTGAAATTTAGGCAGATTTGTTTGGGAGGTATGTTGGGTTTCTTGAGCAAAAAACGGTTATAATCAAGAAAAATGTGGTAAGTTGTTATTCGACCCGCCAAAGCATTGGCTTACATTGTTCGACATACATTATTTATATAAAGTGATTGAAACTCGTTCATGTGATGTTATTGTGGAGTCGACGAACATATATAGGAATGGTTGGGTTTTCCTTTGGTACCATGGCATGGTTGACTCTCCTTCTTTTTCCAGAAACGTTTGGTCGCATCCATAACTCTCTGGTAACATAGCGGCTAGATGGTCGATGATGGTCGCATGTATATATTATATATACACATATGATTCTGTATGTGTATATGCATACATACATACGTACGTACGTACATACATACATACATACATACCTGCCTACTCATATGGGTATGTGCCCGCAATCTAGTTGTGACCACTGTGCTCAATTTATGCCGAACCTCAAATACACATGTCAAAACCCTATGGTCACGCCTACTCTGAGGAGAGACCAAATTAAGCTAAATGAGTTTCAAACAAAATCCAAAGTTCGAGTCTGAAGATGGCGGCTTGGCATGGGTGTGTCTGAAAATGAAGTTTATGCATCAAAAATCCATTTGATAGGGTTAATGACTATATATATATACACACACTATCAATACATATATATATATATACACCTTAATATATAATTATATATATATATATATTATATAATATGTTTGTACATTTCGATATGTATATATATATATATACACGCATACACCAGTATACCAGTATACCAATATATACCATTTCATGGTGGTGGACACGGTCCAGGTTTGGATGGCACCTGTGCTGTGGTGGACTTTGCAGATGGGAGGTGTGGCGTGACCGAGCTCGGCGTGACCAAGCTCGGCGATATGGATATAACGATGGCAAGGACAATGGAGCAGTGTTCAAAACCCCTCTTGGTTGATGTTTATAGGGGATTATACTACCCAATATATGGATATATCTTGGGGATTCTAATTATCCAATAGGGAAATCCCTATAAACCAACCAGTATAACTATAGAGGGATTTTGAACACTGCTCAATGGTAGTCGTCTAATAGGGATAATATGGATGTAGAAGGGATATGTGATTGATATATTTAAGGTACCATCTGGATATAGAATGGATAGAAGGTAAAAACAGATGCGATTGGCTGAAATCAACAGGAAATCCCCTATGAATTGAGTTTTCTATCGGAAAATATGGGAACATCATGTAAATGGGGGTTACAATGTTACAGACCTCTCTACCCTCTGGTAAATCTAACAGTTTGCTACGAAAACTGGTCACTTTTAAGAGGTAGATCATCGAATTAAATTTAACTAAATGGGCCGTGGTTTCCACAGCACCTGTTAAATTACCAACAGGTAGTCATTTTATAATTTTATATAATCTCGGGAAAATAAACTCGGGACCGGGGCTTCAAGCACCAATCCTCGGAATATATTTTTAGAGCAAGTCAAACTTCAGCAGGCTTTGAATCCTTTCCCATCAGGTTTTTCGATCGAAGCACATCAGATTCCTTCTCCAAACATGTCGCGCGAAGACAAGCGTTACATGATATTACTCGTACTAGGAAGCATGACTAATTCTGCGAGCCAAACAGTTGGGATTTCGAAAAGCGACATTTCGACTTTAGAAAATTCGGAGGTAAGCAACAGACATGGCTATGTTAATTCCATCCCCCTAACATTAAACGCGCACCCTAGAAACTATGCTTTAGGAGGCGATTTACAGATATTTGGGACCATAGAAACCACGACTTTTGCTGGTTAAACTTTTTGCTGGTTAAACCACCATTTGTTTTGATTAATTAAACCATTATTTTTGCTGGTTAAACAACTAGACTTTCTAATTAAAACACAACTTTTGCTGGTTAAACCACAATTGCTGTTGGTCAACCACCAGTTTTGCTGGTAAAACAACAATTTTTGCTGGTTGAACCACCAGTTTTTTTGATTAACCTTTTATTTTTTGCTGGTTAAACAGCAATATTTACTAATTAAAAAACAACTGTTGCTAGTTAAACCACCATTTTGTTGATTAAACCATTATTTTTTGCTGGTTAAACCACAATTTTTGCTGGTTCCAAACTGCGTAGGTCGTTGATGCTCCGCTTTCCTGTGGTAGGTCGACAGCTCAAGCTGCCTTTGGTGCCTTTGGGGGTTGGGAAAATGTAGCCACCCAGCAACCAACCCAGTGATTGGAGCATATGATATATGAACCAGATAATCAATGGTTAGTAACTAGTTATATAATAATACCCAGTGATAACCAGATAATCCAGGTTATAGCACTATAATTAGCACTATAACATATTTATAATATAGTAACCATTGGTTAGCACTAATCACTAACCAGTATAACATTATGAATCAGATAAACAATATGATTTTATAGCACTATATTCAATGGTTAGTAAGTTAGTTAGTAATACCCAGCGATTGAAGATATCTAATTATCCTGGGATGCACTATGGGGATATAATGGGAATATTTGGATTAATGACTTGGATAAACATACCTAACCTAGGCACTTAAATGTTGCAACTTAATTAGCATGAACATGTTTTTTCCATGTAGAATCAGAATGGCAATTTTGCAAGATTTTCCCATCAACAAGAAGGGATTATAACGGTGATTTAACGAATTAATGGAATTTAACAATCAACAGTACTTGGATGTTGCCAGAATTAGCTAGTTGTGCTTGGTGCTTGTGGGTTAACTCACCCCTCAAAAAACGATATGCCCCATTTACTAACCACAAATTGCGAATTCTGGCAACAAATAAGTAGATTTCCTTGAATAGATTTCACCATAGGTTTTAGCAGTTTGTCATCGCAATTTCTGACTGGGGGAAAATTTCGTGCTTATCTCATGTTATCTCTATGAATTAACCCCAGCTGCCTACAAAGTACTGCCAATGACTAATTTACCGCCAGGCCTATATCATCCTATATCAACTGCTGGATGGCGCTAGAAATTCTACAGGCGATCGCCGCTTTTCGTTAGCCCTGCTCAGAAAGCCATGCACCGAATTCACTCTTTGGACCAGCAAGAGGCCACTGACGAATGGATGGTACGCCTATAGGGGTCACCTACTTATCTCCATGGACAGCCCTCATCATCTCAGATCCAGAACTGAGGATCTTGAACTTGAACGTTGGATCCAACACTCAACCAGGGTTCAAAGTCTAGGGATTTTAGTGGGCGACCCGCCACATGGCTTGACTCGTACGGAAGGGGCAGATCAGGATCCTGTTGGCCTTGAACTCAGGTTGACAAATAGATGATCCCTGCATGTAGGAGCCGGTTAGGACATGTTAGGACCTGACTTGGAAGTCACAATCCCTTCCTAGGTTTGATATCTTGGCTCATATAGCTACGACTTACCACTAAGGGGTTAGCCCCATGCCACCTGAAGGCTCAGATTTTCGCGCACTGCATGCAGATCTTCGTGAACGAGGTGCAAGCATATATGGACCTGGGTGAAAGATGAGTGGTTCTGGGGTTGTTTTGACATGCTGGTGCTAGAATATGAATTGCATCAATATTGATACTCGTATGTTGCAGTAGTATCCAGTTATATCCAGTTGCAATTGTCAAATCAATATCTATTGCAAGTACAGTATATATACATACTCTGGTTGATGGTTGATAATTATCAAAGTCATTCTCTACTAACACGAGTTGTACACCAGAATCTACGCCAATCTGGATGGGATGATACAATATATATATATGATATACTACAACATTAAATATGGTATAACATAATAATGTGAAACAATACATTTTAATTGATGAAAATATGATATGAGATTTTTTAGAACGCAGCGAACTATGATGAACTATGTATATATATATATATACATACTGTAATTATAATAAGATACGTATTATATCAATAATATATTGTAACTCTAGTAAAATGAAATAAATTAATAAGATAACATATGATGAAAACAAATTACAATATCTACTATGGCAATGGTGACAATAACGGGCTTTCCCAGACAAATTGTGACAGAACATACCACGTTAGACATGGCGACGCGAAATCATCTCGGCTGGGATGAAAGGTCGATTTGAATCCACGAAGCCGTTGATTGGTTGGGTTGCATGGCTACAAAATCATTATATATTCTATATATTTCTGGTATTATGATCAGAATTCAAATTACTTATTCAGCAACGCTGCTATTGATTGATTTATTGTGTTTTTGTGCGTTTTGTTGTTAAACAATACACAATCATGGGTTAATGATGACAAATTACATTACATCAACCTGTGAAACAATCATCAATGCAAGGGCTGTTTGTTGAACAACATACCCGAACCACACGAACATGAGTCACTTCACCGCAAGCTCCAATGTTTGCGTGAAGCCTACCGCCCATGAGGTAAGATTCCCCAGTGTTCCCATGAAGATTGCCATTTTGGGGTGATATCGTACCTGGTCAGATAATGTCAGATATCTGTTAAACCACCATTCAATTGTTAAACATGTTTAAATCCACCTTTTTTCATGGGTGAAAACCACTATTTTTGATGAGTAATTTCTTACTACTTTACTACTTGTGAATGGCTAAATCAAAATGTCCCCAGACCTGCCCAGTTGCACGAACTTCAATGCTCTCTCATGAAAACTCGTGGATCGATCCACCAATGGCCGACGTCAGGTGAGACGTGAATCAGGGTCGCGGGCCAATATTGCCTCTCCCGAGAAGGGCATCGCTCCCTGAGAAATCTGGTTTGTTTCAAAATGGAGGAGGCCCATTTTTTAATGGTGAATTCACTTTGGAAAATCATGGAAGATCATGGAAAATTTCAAATTCAATGGAACTTGCTATTTTTTCAAGTTTTGATGAATAGTTCCAGTGGGAACAATTGATGATTTATCAGCAGTTTTGGTGGTATTTTTTCAGACAAAAAAATGAATGCACAGAATCGATGTTCGAAATTATATTTTGTTGGTTCCAAATTCGACAAATGATGCATCTTTTATTGCGGACCTGCAGGACCTGTTCACCAGATCTGCAGGACACCCTGATTGAAAGCCTCACATCCCCACCCAATGGTATGGTCGTGACCGAAGCCATCATGGTGAAGGGGAATCATCCCCATAGCCGAACTATTCCTGGTTGGTGGCTTGGAACATTTTTTCCATATATTGGGTATAATCATCCCAACTGACTAATATTTTTCAGAGGGGTTGAAACCACCAACCAGATATTATTTACCCAGATACCATACCAAGGAGATGATCGGTTTTATGGAACGAGATGCCTCATGATTGGGTATACACTAGTATACACTATAGAAACATCTAGAAAAGTAAAATTCCAAGTTTGAAGGATAATTGTGGAGTTGATTGCTGCTGCACCTGAAGGGGTTCCAAAACATCCTGCTTTGGCTTTTGGATCCTTTTGGGTATCTTTTGGCTTGCTGGTTTACTGAGTTCTGAACCCTTGCTTGATGCTTCTGGTTCCTTAACTACTGCAGGTCTTGCGCGCCTCTAAGTATAGACAGGGTTTGAACCCCGAACAGCAGCAACGCTGATGCGTTGCCTGCTGGAACCTAGCTCCAGGGACAAGGGATGAAAGATGATAGTGCTGAGCAGTATGAGCAAATTAGAGATCATCGTGTTTTAGATTTAGTTTTCCCAAATTATATATATACAATTATTTACATATTATGGATTAGAAGAGGGGTGATCGAACCCTGGCTATAGTAATTGGTGGTTTTGCTTTTTGGTTACCATTCAGGAATATGTGAAAATTATGTATTTCAATCATGTTCAATCTGATCATGGTTCTCCAGTGTAGGCTTTGGAGACTGCTCCAATGTGTCTTTGAGAATGGGGACTCTACTACTCCACTGAAATTTGCTCGTTCTAGTATGGGAAACCAATGGTCCTCTCGTTTGCATGATTCTCTGAACTGAGCACCGGATGTTCATTCAATTCTCCCCCTAAAACAATGGTTGTGTATATGTTTGTTGCTCCCTCGATTATGTACTGTGCATGTGTTTTTATACATGTATGTAGACACACACACACACACCTGTATTTATATATATATATATATATTATACACATACACGCATAGAGAGAGAGGGGGACACCTCTTATAGATGCGCATGATTCCTAAAATCCAAATCAAAACGCCTCTGTGTATTTCATTTGATAACCAACAATTTTCTGGGTCAAAAGGTATCAAAACCTCTTTAATGAACCCTGGTATCAGGTATAGGTATGGGTTGGCATGTAGACTACTTGGCGGATGCAGTTCCAGTTCCCCCACACCTCAATGGCCATTTCAGGTAAACTGGAGGTACTGTAGCATGTAAAGTCATATTTGGGGGGAATATATCCCCTTACATAGCCCTTACATAGTTCATAGACCTAATATATGGCTATATAATGGTAGGTACCTCCAATAAATGGCTTTCTGAAATGGCTAGTGACCACACCCAAGTAGTAGCATCGTGGCGCTTCCCTTGTCCCCTCATAATACAGTCCATAACGGCGTCGCCGACCGGCGAAGTGATCCTTGCAGCCTGACACGGTGAAACAACATGTCGATCATAGGCTGTTTGACAAAAAAATGCATGGGGACTACCCTCTGGTAAGCAATCATGGGTAGATCCTCTTTAAATGGTGTTTCAATGAGAACATCCTCGAACTAAATGGAGGATTTTCCATTGCCATGTTTGATCATGTTTGATTACGGGATGGTTCGCAATAAAATTGGGATGCTGACAGATCCACGGGTGGTGCAGGAAGTGTGATATTCTCTAGATAGAATCTGGGCCAAGGATCCAAAAGGTGATGAGTTTGCGTGGAGATTCATGGCACATCTGTTCTTCTTGCAATGCTGGTACACTGTTCCGTATTGGAAACAAACAAATCATCAGGAAAACAGAAAGTTCCATAGAATTGGATGATGGGAAAATTTACAGGAAAGCCCTATATTTGATGGTAAAAACCATGGTTTCCTGTAGATTTTCCCTTAAACCAATCCATTGATTGATGGTTTCAAATAGACCTGGAGAATCTTCCATCCCTTTGTTTTCGATGACGTCCACTGACCGATGTAGGTTGGACAACTGAAACTTTTGGAGGACCTAAACATGTTGGCATCTCCAAACTGCTTGGCTCAAAGGTGTTGCTGAGCTGAGCTGAGCTGATGGATTTCCAAAGCCTGGGTGATTTTGACGAGCACTTCCCATCCGTCTTTGCCATAGGGCTATATAGGTCCATGATTCCAAATGACCGTCGGACATGTTTGGCGTCTGGGTGTAGCAAAAAAACACACAGACACACTCACACACACAACAAAGTACTACAGCTGGCCATTATAAGTTTGTTTGCATAAGCGTATGCTCCCATCATCACGTATCTTGTTGGTTAAATCAACCAATGTCCACTTCAAATGGGACAATTAGCCATTTGATCCAGCATACTTATTGATGAATCGAGAAATCGGTTCAACCCACCATGGTATTATCGTTTGATTTATTTACACAATTTTATTTCTTCAGAACTGTTAATTCTTCAATAGAATTGGATGTTAGTAAAACATACGGTATGGCCAGCATTCTTGTTGGCTCAAATTATGTTGGTTCATTTCTCTAATTCTCTAATAACTCTAATAAATTCTTGTGTAAGAACAGTTTTCTGCCGGTTCACTGCAGGTGTATTGGCAAAGCCATGATGTTCCCAAAGAAACTCCACCATTTTTCCCTGGAACGAGCGCGGCATCCGTCCCACCCTGCGGCCATGCACAGCAGCCTCCATGGAGGACCTACTCTTTGGGGATGGTAACTGTACCATCAATTTGTTGGGTGATTTGGGGATGGTTGATTTTTGGGTGTACCCCGATTTTATTTCAAACAGATAGGATAGGATTCGGTTTCGGATTAGGATTTTGGCAAGGGATATAAAGTAATAAATTTGAAACAAGGCAAGGCGAGGCAGGATAGATAGACAGGTAGGTGGACAGGTAGATAGGTTGGTGTATAGTCAGATAAAATGATTAGATAAGACATGATAAGACATACTGGTTGGTGGTTTGGAACATATATGGGATAATCCTTCCCAACTGACTTTCATATTTTTCAAGATGGTTATTGCACCACCAACCAGCATATAATGAAATGACCCTGCTGTAGACGTTTACTGTTGGATCAGTGTTCAACGCTTCTTTGTAGATCATTTCCCTATGATTTTCCCATTGGAATCGCCACTTTCGGGCTGTCACCGCAGGCCTGGGCACCTTGCCGGGTGCTGGACCCATAGGTCTGCTCCCTACGGTGCTGGAAAATGTTGCGCTTCACCCACGATCTCAAGTTGTTTATATACATATATGAACACATACATAATTATATATATATATATACAATATGTGTGTGTACGTTGTTTTTATTTATATTATATTTATACAGTTTGTATGTATAAACAACCTGGTACTGATATATTTGCAGATGAGCTTCCGAAAAATGATGGGATCATATCGAAACATCATTGCTTTCATTGCGATAACAAAGTGTGTGATTTTCCAGCTTTCCCCGTCTCGCATCAAGGTCAGAATTATGACCCACAAGGCTCCTATTGTTGGACCTTGTCACTTGTCAGTGATTTGTTGGGTGCACCGAAGGATTTGATTCCCATGTCATCGTATGACTCTGTGAATGAAAACTTGGGCTGTATACCCCCAAAATTGAGCTACCCTCACATCCATGATTAGTATGTTTGTTCTACGATTCTACATGTTACATCTTCTAGGTGTTTTTTTACCTAAAACGTCGTGATACACGTTGCAATAGAACAGTCCATGTCAAACGAAAAGGCCTTCATGCACATCCTGCTGGACTTCAAAGAATCTTCAATGTCTTGGGTCTTGGGATAAGAAAAAACACGGTCCCCAGTTGTTTCACAGATTCTTGGTACTACCGGGCTAATCATTACAGTCGGTCTTGAGGAAGTAGTTCCACACCATCCAGAGTTGAACATCTCCAAGAGTTGTTGTAGGGAAGAGGCTGGATGTGCTTAGGATGTGCTTAGACTTTTGTGGATGTTCCAATGTTGGTTTCAAGGTTAGTTATGTGGTGAGACCAGCTTCTCATGTTATTCTTTCTAGTTGTACCACTGCCTACTCATGGTTGATTAGTAGGCACTGTTTGGGTACCATGCAGTAAAGCACACTCAATCTGGAAAATCCATGTCACATGTGTTTCTAGGAAAATGATCGAAACACGTCTACAATTGCAGCTGGTGGATTATTCATATGGGTTTGCCCAAAAACGGAGGACAAACCAAAATGTCCACAATGAGAAGCCTGGTTTCCATTGGTTTCCTCAACCATGATATTTTGTGGTATTGCTCATTGTTCTTCAACGCCATATCTGATCTTTTCTAGTGGTGCCAAGAGGATTAGCTCATTAAAAAAAAACGCAAAAGATAACAAAAGACTGCTATTCTCACTCCCTCTCTCTCTCTATATATATATATTTATTTATGTGCATGTATTATGTATACATATACATATTTACATATATTTATATATACACACATATATAAATATATATACATATATACATATATATACATATATATATACATATATATATACATATATATACATATATATATATATACATATATATATATATACATATATATACATATATATACACATATATATATAATATACTTATTTACATATTTACATATATATATACATATTTACATATACATATATATATATATATGTGTATATATATGTATATACATTTATACATATATATATATTCATATATACATACATATATATATATATATGTATTTATAACACTCAACATTTCACCTTAAATACAAGGTCCCATCTTCTGGAGGCGTTCTCTTTTTCAAAACGGGTGACGCTAGGCTTCGCCTGGGTCGCTCCGTGGCTCCGAAGGCAGGATGCTTGCGATGGAGGGTGCCATCCAGTAAACTTCCAATGGGAATATCATGGGATTTTAATGGGATTGTAATGGGATTTTAATGGGATTTAATTGGTTTTTAATTTGTTTTTAATGGGATTATCCTCTGGTAAACGTTTACAGTTTGCTAGTGAAAATTGCCATAGAAAATAGTGGATTTACCCATTAATAGCATGGTGATTTTCCATAGTTACGTTAGTTTACCAGAGGGTAATAGTGGGAGAATGGGAACAACGTGTGATTAATAGGGGGAATATAGTATAATATCATGGGAGAATGGGAATAAAGTGGGAATATTTTGGGATAATGGGAATATAACGCTACTATAGTTGGATTTATAATTGGAATATAGTGGGATAATGGGACACATGGTAATATAATTGTGATTAGGCCTGCCATTAATGAAGATGTTTGGTGATATAAACTATATAAACCAACAGCTTGCTATGGAAAATCACATGAATGGTCAAATCATCGAACGAATTTTACGTTGTTTTCCATAGCTACGTTAGTTTATCAGGATCTAGTTGGATGATTTGATAAGAAAGTTCGATGCGAACTGTTGACCTTTTTCTGGGGAGGTACCATATTCATCACTTTTGTGGAGTGAGTTTCCTGAGTCAAAAAAGCCAAG